TAAACAGTCGAACAGATCAATATACAGGGGAGTATCAAAAGAAAAAAAAAAAAAGCGTGATCTCTTCCCTGAAGAGGGGAATCATTGGAACGATGCAAAAGCCCGCACATTGAAACTAGCACATGACAACGTTATCATATACACGTCACAACTCGCGCGATGTAAAAAAAAAAAAAAAAAAAACAACGACCGCGGTGAGAAATGGGGCCGATGGTATGTCAAGTCAGCCGATGACACACGCTGTAGACACAGCTTTTTTAGCGCCTGCTACTGCTGCTGATGTGATTGTGGGATTATTGTGGTTGGTGCTGGGGGTCGATGCTGCTGCTGCTGCTGCTGCTGTCGCGGTTTGTTGTTGTTATCCGGGGGATTATGTACACAGACAGGTCTTATTTTTTGTTGTTGTTGTATAACTATATATTTAACTAATGGTTGCCTCTGCATGCCCCTACCGCGCCTACTACCTTTTAAAAAAACTGACTAACCCGACACAGCCCGACAGTGCATTGTGTTTGTTGTTGGCCACAACACTGTGTTTCTCTCCAGGAGGGTTTACGTACGTATCTGGTCAACCGCATAGCCTCAGCAAAGCAAACGGCCACGGGAAAGTGTGCGTGCACTGCAAGCAGCGCGGCATGGTAACGTCACGCGGCAAGCTCAGGCAAACCCGCTTCAAATGCTGGCCCTGCAATGCCTGTTTGTGCCGCTGGCCATGCTTCGTCGATTATCACAAAATGCGCTCGATCCCTCATATTCCGCCCCCCTAGCACCAACCCCCTCGTCGTAGCGCCTCGCCGGCAACGAGAAAGGACTGACGTTCCGTCCGCCCCGCGATCGGGCCAAGCGCGATGAAAATCGGTATAAAAGAGACATCCTCGATATAGTTTCACTTCACCGAGAGAGAAAGAGAGAGAGAGAGAGAAAGAAAGAGAGAGGGAGGGGAAAAGAGCTTCGATTAGCTTTGTATGTTCACGCGATGCACGCGAGTCTCGTGCTTCTTTTATGCAGGTGGAATGTAACTCCGTATATGTAATATTGCATATAGAACTGAGCCACTGGGGATTGGCATATTTAATAGGGAACGATTTAGTAACGAACATTTGTTATAAAATTTTATCTAGACATTTATTTTAATTAGAAATTTACAGTGAGATTGTTATATTACATCGCAGCGAGTTCGTATTGCATCAATTACATTACAAATAATTTTTTTTTCTTTTCTTTTCTTTTTTTTTCCAAAACATTTTTGAACGCGATGACAATTTTTTTCAAAATAGAGATTTTTAATTCGCAGGAATTAAATTGCATCTTCGTCGACATTAAACAGAGGATACAATATTCCGGCTTTTAAAATATATTTATTAATAGTTTATCCACGCATAATTTGCCTTTTTGCATAATCTGCATCCCATCTTTCACGTTAGATAATATATATTCTATACAAAATGTTTGCCGAGCTAATTAGATTTAATTTGCGATGCGATTATAAATGTAATAATATTAGAATTAGTCCTCTAATTTATATGATGAAGATAAAACGTTGCGTACTTATTAATTATTTTGTTAATTACGTAACATCTTCATAAACATTCCGTGCGCGTTAACGCGATATATACATATATATTGTTATTTATATTACTAAAAGCTATGAACATGTTGCTTGCGATAATGATCGCATTGATAACACGACTTTGAACGAACCATGATATTTGACGCTGTGCTGTAAGTTACATGAAATTACTGTTTCACTCGCTCGAGAGTGCAGTCGAAATTAATTTGACATTATTCCTATATCCAAAATATATATAAACATGCAAGAGAAGCGATAAATAATTACGTAATTACGAAATAAAACGGTAGCACAATTTCGGTCAAATAATGTAAATGATTAAAAACTGATATAATAATAATGTTATGATATAAGAAATAAAATGTGAATTATTAAAAGATTATTAATTTATTATTTTTTCTATATTTATATTATTATGAGAAAATATTAATAAATCTCTCTTTGTCTCTCTCTCTTTCTCTCTGCATTTTATTTTGCGAGAATTTGACCATAATTGTCACTGTTACATATGTCATTTAATATTGAGACATTACGAATTTGGGAAAAAATACAACGAATTATAAATGACACAATTTATAGCGAAGTAAGATCAATTTAATTTCGACTTTTTTCGTAAGACTGTTATCTTTAGCCTTATCAATAAAAATATTGATTATTCGTCAGTTTTATCAGTCACGTGCACCGTGCGGATATCCGTTATTTATTCAGAGTCTTCTACAGAATAACGTTACCGTAAAGATCTGTAACCGGTTCATTAAGAAAATGTTAAGTACAAAGAATAGAGTAACTTTCTACCCGTTAGGAAAGATTAAGGCAGCTATCACGATTTAATTTCTTACATTTGTAGCATAGTCTCCAAACTTATACACAGTATGTAACAAATGTAATATCTTCCAAATTAATTTGGTGCATTATATTCTTTACATATAGTTCCGTAGATCTCTTAATAGGATAGGTCTGGAATTTCATATTAATATCGTTTATTTGATTTTAAGACAAATCACATACTCTAGAGTATAATCATTTGCAATATTATAAATTACTATAGACTGATATTTTCATTACACAACAATTATTATTTTTATCATTTACGTGAAGTTTAAAGAGCGAACGAATTTGGAATATTTTCTGTCATTATTTTCTTTCTATCTCTCTTTAAAATTCTAATCCATTGTAGTCATAGAAAATATTTGAAGCGGACATTTATTTTAATTAAGAAATAATATACTCCATTATAATAATCTCTTGACATAGATAATAAAACAACATTTCGTAATTTTATACAGGAGCTTAAAGAAATGTTTCTAGAAAATCTTTCTCTTTCTTAAGGATCAAGTTTTGAAAATATTTAATTCGAAAGTTTTTTACGTTTTGAAAAATTAATGCGCAAGCATAGAAAATGAGGCAGCTTTTCAAAACAATCAAAATAATTATTAAAGCAATTTGTGAAATAAACAGACGAGAACAGACGAAGCAACATATTAATAAAAGTATTATACAAGTTATATTCTCAAGAAATTTATGCTTAAAATCCATGTTATTAAACGGTTCGATTAAAATCGTGAGGAATGGATTCTTTTTTGATATTTTTGATCGCCTGGGGGTTTAACGAGCTTCTGATCCTTTCTTCAATGGTGTCGTGTGTCTTCTATTTTCTCTGTCTGATCTGATTAGGCTTGCTCTACTAGCTTGCGCTTGTTACGCACTTTGTAGAAAAAGGGCGTGTAGGATTGACGAGGAGAGATGAGACATGATATTGCCATCTTGCAGATATTTGAAAGCACTTTTTATTTTGTTTTATCTTTTTTATTTCTCTTTTACAAAAATTATATTACTTACGTACAATAAAATATTTTTTTATATAATATATTAAGTCATCTATTAAGTATATATTCTAATACAAATATATACCTACATTTGTATTTATAAATGAAATTATTTTATTTATAAGTAAAAAGAAATTTCCCAATATTAATTAAATATTTTTGTGTTTGGAAATTCATTATATAACAATGGGATATATATTTTCGATATATATAAAATAAAGAAATATTATTTTCAGAAAGTAGATGCTAAATAAAAACAAATTCAGATTTTATTCACCGAAAAATCTACAAATAATTTTTTTCTGTACAATAAAAGATAGTGAAATATTATTTTTAAATAACAAATTTTAAAAGATTATTATCGAAAGTCTACAGCTCGACAACATAGACTTTGCCAAGTGCTTTCAAGTCTTTAAGACAGTCGCAATGGCGGTGGAATTTTTCTCTTCGACAATCAGCCAGGCAATTTTTCGCGGAATAGGTATTAGAGCCCTAGCTTTCTCGAACGGAACACGGTGGTTGTCGACGAAGGGCACGAGACGCGTTATCAATTAGCCCTCGATTTGGCTCCAGACGAATTCGCGCGTGCGCGCCGGCACTCGTGGCTAACAATGCGTGGTGACGTTGTGTGTTTGTTGTTTTCTTTGTAGAGCGAGCCGCGGGAGACGCCGCCGCGGGTGGCGACGACGACGACGCCGACGCCGTTTCTGCCAGCGGCGTCGCCGAGCTCGTCCCGGACGACGATTACGGTCAGTCCGGCGCTGCGGCGGACGCCGGCCTCTTGTTTCGCTGTAGAATTTGTTGGAAGGGTTTCAAGCACCCGATGTCGTTGACACTGCACAAGGATTTGCACACAGGCCAGACCAGGTGCCCGATTTGTCAGCGCATCTTCAGTCGAAGTTACGACATGAAGGCACACTTGCTGCGCATCCACAAGCGTCAACACACGTTCAGTGTGTTCGATGCAAAATCGAACTTTCGAAAGTGATGATGACTCTCTTCTCCCCCCCCCGGGCTTCTTTTTCAATTTTTTCGATCGTTCCTTCACGTCAGTTTTATGTGAAATATCTCATTGTTGCGAGAAAATATTATAATGACAGATTTCTTGCGGTACTTAGCCGATATTAACAGACGTATTCTAAGAGTACTTGAGGAAAAAAAATGAAAGTTAAACAAGATATAAATAAATTTCAACATAGCGCAAATAATACAATATACGAGGATATATTACCTAGTTCCAAATGGAATTTAACGGAAGCTTAATTCTTAATCTGATATGTTTGTTGTCAAACACACACTTCGCACGACCGATGATATCATACAATATTAAACATATAACGTCAGTAATTGAGAATGAAAGGACAAGCGAGAGATGTATCTTATTCATTATAAAACGGAGAATAAAATTATGCTTAAGAAAGAAAAAAGTTAAATAGGTTTACTTGTCTGGCCAAAAATTCTTATGGGCCACAACAGTATTAACATATCAGACCAAATGACAGTATTTCAATGAAATTGTGCAAAAACTAATTCTCGTATCAAATATACAGAGCATTCACGGACATATACGCAGTATAATGGTGTGAAATGTATATCTGTTGTAGAGTCATTAAAAGATTTGGTAATCTACCTAACTAGATGTCCACTGTCTACTAAATACCTAGGACATACTCTGGGAGATGAGCATCATGATAGATCTCCGAGTCGGATTACATCATCGAATATGTCACATCATAAGTTTAAAAAAAAGAAAGGTCCGGCTACACGAGTAAGGCAACCCTGTAAAAAATGTCAGGAGAATAATGACACGTCATTAAAACCTGTTGTAACAACATTCTGTAATGACTGCGTTGATAAGCCTCACTTATGTCTGCGTTGCTTCAATATAATACATCGTATTACGACCGATGATTGAAGTTTCTTCACATAATCTCTTTACAAGAGCAAATATTCCATGATTCGCTGGCGCATATATTTCAGGAAATCTTTTTAGGTTTCAATATTTATTAAATATTTATCAAATATTTTTTATTTTTCAATTATTGATTTTATGAATGCAAATATTTATATACATATATCCATATTTGGTATCAACAGTATAATTACTACAGTAGCGAATATATTAATGTCGAAAATGAAGATGTTTTGAAATAATAATTCCATTGATCTTATGGCGAAGAAAAATTTATTTTAGATTGATCGAAAAGTCTGATAATTAAATACATCTTGATGAAACTCTTTGTATACAAGAAAGACACACGAAGATAGGATCAGTGTTGGCCGAGGTTGAAAACTACGTAGTGTTGCATAAGTATTGCGAAAAATTTAAAGAATTTTGAAAATATTGTTTATGTTATTATTTATGAAAACCAATTATTAAAAATGAATTATTAAAAGCTTTTATTTTAATGTTATTTTATTTTTACGTTATAAGAGCTTGAAAGATCTTGCCAAATTAAATTTAACGGTGTATATAAAATCGAAGTATTACTTATGGAACACTCTTTACGAATGGAAAAATCTGTATCGACTTAAACGTGCCATGAAATAGAGATATGATATTAAGGATGTAACGAATTTTATTATTTTATAGGTTTTTAGTTAGTTGCTTTTATAGATAAAGAGCCTCTCGTCATTTAAAACTGCAAGACTGTTAAATACGTAATTAATACGTGTAAAATACGAATATTTTGTTGTCTATCATTATCAAGAATTTCACGAATTCTTATTGGTTTTATATACCTACTAATCTGTATTCTCGCTGCACATTTAGCCCTAAACGTGACTTTATTTTTGAGATTCAATATGTGTGACTATTAAGCATTTAACGTAAATATGTAATATATTTGTCCTATTTAGCTCTAGATGTGTAATGAGAGAATAAAAACTATATTTTATAACCATATTTGAAAAACATACTCATGACTCGAGCAAATGCGCGAATATCACAGATATTATTAATAAACCTTACATTACAATTGCTTGGAATGAATGCATTGTGTACGTATGTTTGTCGAAGTGTTGCTGTGTCATATGTTATTCCACGTGCATCTATAATGATTGTGCGTCGCGCGTTCCAAGGTGTTTATTAGTACGTTTAGTAAGCATTATTTACATGTTTCATGAATTCTATAATACGACTTATTTGCGCGTTACCGCACTTTTGATGACATTACTCGATATCATTTTTTTAATAAAAATATTACAAAAAACAATTGTCATGTTCCTTGTATCAGAGTAATAAGCAAAACTATTGTAAATCTGTCATATTAATGACGATTGGAATAGTAGGATGCGACGAGTGACAAATTAAGGAAAATAAAAATCCGCAGATTGCTCAAAACGATACGAATTGCCGTTAGAATTCCAAGATGTTACAATCTCGTACGGAAGAATATATGTCCCTTTATATTAGGTCACAACAGAAATAGAACTTCGCATGAATCTCGGTATCCGCAAGCTTTTTGACATTTCGACACTCCCAACAAAATTCTCCTTTTCGTTTCTGGCTGGAAGCTTCATTGAACATGCTTATGGGGACTATACCTACTTACATTAGTTATGAATTTTTAACACAAAATATCCCGATTGTATCGATGTACGGTACACATACTCGACACAGAATGCGTTGGCGAGTATAATATATAAAGGGCCGACCCGGTAATATACATATAATTAGAAACAAAAATTTTTCGAACATATTTTAATTTAATTGTTTCTCATTTTTCATAAATTCAAGAGTATTTTGAATGAATCACGATGCTATCATAAACTATTGATTATAATCAGAAGATCTTTTTTGAAATTTTTTTAGAGAAACAATTCTTTTTTTAAAGATCGAGGCATTGAATAAATTTATTTTATAATTCGACAATTTAAATGCGATAAATTAATTTGTTGCAAGATGTATGTAGTTATATTCGATGAGTCTCTCTCTTGTAATATCGATTCTTTCAAAAGTTTATTTGGTATAGATGTATATAGTTCAGGATAATTTAATTTTATATATTAATAATATTTTACATATCAAAAATTTTTGAAAGATGGGTCGTCCCTCTTATTTTTTCAAAAGTGTCCCTGACGGCCTGAGACCAAACTTTCATCTATCTAAACACACACCTGTATGCGATATCTATTTCAATCAAATAAGCTTTGGAAGTTTTGCATAATCTTTATATATCTAAAAATATTTCAGAATGCAGAATCTTTAAATATTTTCGTTTAAAATTTTTTTATTACACATATATTATGATCTCTAGAATAATATGTGATATTGTTTAACAAAATTTTGATAAATGATTTATGTATTATATATTATTATTACTGGAATAATTTGCTCTTTTCATCTTTTTCAATAATTTCATTGTTTTAAATATCATTTTAAATCATCATCTTCTCTCCAAAATTTTAAAAAGACTTATTTTTGTCGATGGAAAATTCACATATCAGTATGTGATTATTGTTATTATTTCCACATTCCGATCTAGTATTTTATCTGTCATATATGCGTTATCATATAATTTTCTCGCATAATCTCAAATACAAGAAGGAATTTATCGATGCCGGTGTGTGCTTATCGGGGTTGTCTCACTATCGTATATCTTCGCTGAGAGAAATAACAATAACCGACACATCAAAACAACCGAAACCGCGAATTGACGAAGCACATAAAAAAAACAAGAAAATATAAGAAAAAGAACATGTCCTCGCGCGCACGACGAAACTATTACATAAAAGTATGAGACCGTGTGTGTATGGGAAACACTTTGGATTGTGTGCGCAGAATCAGAGCACAATTACGGGAAGCATCAACCGCAACCGCAACAACAACAGCAACAGCAACAACAGCATGCGAGCTCCGTTCTCGACGGGGCCAGGCGCAGGTCTAAGCTGCACTACATGGTGGAAAGCGGTCGCTGGGTGTGCGATGTCTGCGGGCGAACCTACAATCGTGGCGATTCCCTAGCCCACCATCGCAGTATACACAGGGGTGATACGATCTGTCCGATCTGTCAGAGTTGTATTTATAGGTCTTGAGATTCTCGATATCTCTAGGATTCACGAAATTTGGTACCCTGATATCCAGATATAGTGTACCGATGGATTATTTCTTTCCACATGCCAATCATGCCCAAATCTTTTCTCGCGAGAGATTTTCGTTGTTTCATTTTTCACTCGATGATATCAATCGAATGCATTCAAGCACAATATTCTTCATTCCATAAATAACGATATACATAATAACTATATACTCAACTATTTAGTATTATCGACTATTATTTTGATGGTTTTATATTTTAATCAATTTTTATACTGCATGCATTTGAAAAAAAAAAAACTCAATTTTTTTACTATTTTTGTTATCGTGTAAGATTATAATTCTATTGCTTTTTGAATACAAGAATCTTCTCATCGTCTTCTATCTTTAATAACTGATAGTCATATAATGCAAAGTGTTCAATTTTTGTGATAAGTACTCACTTATTTTTTTTATGTATGAGGTCTAACACGAAAAAAGGCGAGAATGACGAAATAAGATCGCTTTAAAAGAAAGGATAGCTTTATTTGATTTTTTTTTTAAATTTTCTAAGCAAAGAGAAAATTACAAGTACGATCTCCTTCCTTTTTTTCGAATCTCTCGTATATGGATCATATCCTGCAAAAAGAACCAACATTAGTAAACTTTTAGTATCAATATTCGTGGCGTGACTGAGTAGCCCGTGTATTAAGGCTCTTATTCGATAAAAAGAGATAAAGGCTCGATCGCTTTTTGCAGAATTTTATCCGCATTCTTCCACACATGAGAGAAATTAATATGTGTACATAATAAAATACATATATATGTAACGAGTATAAGATAGGATAAAGACTGTCCTTCTCTTTCTTCGGCAAACGAAGCTTGCAATGCGTGTACTTAAATATAACAGAAATGTTATATACCTTGTCCTATCGAAATTAGAGAATAATCATGTTAAGCTTTATCGAGCGATCTCGATTAACTGCACAAAGGGGAATTACTGTGCTATTATAATCATTACACTTGGCGAAAACAGAATATCGTGAATATCCGTAAATGCATTATCAACGAACAGTCTATACGAAGCTTCGTTTAGTCTTTCACTTGTGCACAATTTATTTAAGAGATGGCAGCTTTTTCCCGCTTCCTCAAAATAGCACAAAATTTATCCACTAAACGTAATTTATGTACAATATTTGCGAGATACGATTATTATACGTTGATGTCATATGTATAAAATGTGTATAAAAGCTGTCATTTATGTGGATGCCACGTTTCTGTCTCAGCGCGAAACTTAGACAATCGTCGATCACAGTCGGATCGATCGATCTTATCGTTGTATTTAATTGATGTGACTTGTCTCTTGATAATAACTTGTAAAGGCGTCGATATAAACAGGGAATAGATTCATGTCAGAGTTTAATTGTACAGAGTTTAATTGCAACACGTACTCTTTGACAATCATATGACGTGCAATTTCTCTCAAATTGTACGCGATAGCAATGATTGACGTACAGTTGACGTATTTTTAATAAACCTGATATATCCCGTTACTATTATTTTTTTTTTTTTTTTACATATCTTGTACTATAATATATATATTCTATTGCGGAAATAGTTTACTTTGATTCAGAAATTAGTGTTCTAGTAAAGATCGACACAGAATATATAAATAATTCTTTTCAAAATACCACCATACATAAGACCAATCTCGAAAATCCTACCAGAACAAATAAGCTGCTTTCGATCGCCGTTCGGATTTTATTTAAGTTTTCCGTCTATCTAAGAGTGATTTACAGCGTTAGAGAATTTCATTAATTTGCAGGATGAAAAATTGATGTCATAGTCAAAATACCGTATTATATGTAAATTATGACGTAGCTGTAGAATATGTAAGAAATGCGAAGTGCCGGGTTATACATTTCTTTTGTACTTTGCATTCTGGAAATAAAGCCATGATTCGAAAACCGTACGTGTGTCCTTTGGGCCGCGAAAAGTGCATCATTTTCTCACCGCATGAAACAATCGAACACTTTTCGGAATCTTCCGAAAATCTTCGATAAACAGATGCACTAAGATTTCGATATAACGTATAAACAAATACCCGATAGAACGTAATTCCTATTTTGCGATATAAATTTTAATTTAAATTAAGAGAGAGATTAACTCACTCGAGCATCCAAATATATATGATACTTGTAATAACTATACATTATATTATATATAAATTTCGTGGTATATTTTTATATATTTAACATATAATTTATGGGTGAAAAAAGAAAAAATTTTAATAAGAAAATTTTATTGCAGAATATTGAAAAAGGATAACAAAATCTTTGATGAAATTTATTGTAACAAAAAATTTAACACAATTCTTAGCAATATAAATGTCTTATCATAGAATGTACTTAAATATACTTTTATACATAATTTCAGAAATTTAGCAAACATGTAGTACTTTATATAAACGAATGTCATAATTTATAAATTGTCATTCCTCCCGCATGACACGTCGCCTTAATGTGCCAAAATATAGTCGCGTATGCGATCACGTTTGATTAATAGTGATCCAAAGGAATACATATGATTGTCGGTTCACTGCAAAAAATAAAAATATAAAAAAATATGCGAGTAGCAGTATATCTCGTGCCATAAATTTTGGGCCCGATATTCGTTTGCCAAATCACGATTTACGAATTAAATCTCGCCCGAATTATGTCTATGTGTGTTGTGCATGAAAATATTGAACATTTTGTATATTTGTATTTGTTCTGTTCCCGTTTTCTTTCGCTATTGTTCATATTATGCCGTTATATTCACAGTAGCATGGCTGCTCCGAGAATATTATAATTACTGCGTGTGTTGCCATTCTCATGATTGCTGTCTCTCTCTCTATCTTTCTCTCTCTTGCTCCTGTTTGTAAGTCTCATCGTGTGCGTTGCCTTTCTTCTTTTTTTTTTTTTTTTTTTTTTTTTTTTTTTTTTTTTTTTTTTTTTTTTCTTGCTGAAAAAACAGTTGAAAAAGAACGTGTTTTATTTCATAGATTTTTTTTTTTTTTTTATAATA